GCCGCGCGGGAGGAGGCTCCCAGTGACGTGTTCGACCATGCCGTGGACCCCTGCTCCTCCTCCTCCTCCTCCTCCTCCTCCTCCTCCTCCTCCTCCTCTTCCTCCTCAGCCTCCCCCTCCCCCTCCCCCTCCTCCTCCTCCTCTCCTCCTCCTCCTCTCCTCCTCCTCCTCCTCCTCCTCCTCCTCCTCCTCCTCCTCCTCCTCCTCCTCCTCCTCCTCCTCCTCCTCCCCCTCCTCCTCCTCCTCCTCCTCCTCCTCCTCCTCCTCCTCCTCCTCATGGTTGCTCATCACACCTGAGCCGTCTTCGGCTGCCCCCAGGCGGTCTTCGGCGGTCATCCGGCGGTCTCTGGGCGGTCTCTGGCGGTCCTCGGCGCAGAAGCCGGATGGTTGCGTTCGGCAAGAGGTCCATGGTCGAACACCCAAGAGGTAGGAAAGGAATATGAGCAACGACGTGTGAGTGACGAGAAAGCGGGTCTTACGCAAAGTGGCATAGCGACCTTAAGCGGTGGCTTAAGCAGGCTACCAACGCGGCACGCTACGTGCAAGACAGAACGCTCACACGCGACCCTGTACCGGCAGCTTACGCGCCAATGTCGGTAAAGACGACCCCGTCTTTCTGCGTCGCTCATATGAACCTTACCCCTGCAGGTCAGATTCCTGAAAAACCAGCCAGGGTGCAGAACTCGGAGAATGCATGCGGCGAGGTGAACCCCAGCGTGGATGTCCGATACGGCAGATTCGCGTCGTGCTTTCTTCGGCGTTAGTTTCTGACACCGCGGGGATCGGTCAACCGTGAACTATCAACCGATTCCGAACCTTCAGATCGTTCAACATCGATCGATTCTGGGTCGCTGGCGGCGTTCACGACGCAAACCCACCGTACCCCACAGTACACTGGACCCGACAGCCGGGGGTAGTGAGGAGGCCTCATCGTCGGCCCCAACGGCTGAGCAGCACGCCCACATCACAGCAGCTCAAACCAGGTCTGGAGAAAAACTGGCAATCCTGAGTGGTTGCCCACGACTCTGGCCGCCCGAAAATTCTGCGCACTCGCTCAATGCAGCTGTCGTGCTACCATAAAGAGCGCTCAATCAAAAAACGAAGGGTCTTTTCTGGCACGCCGGCACGCCTTGCATGTGCACCCCAGACCCCCCAAAAAATACCGAGGGTCGTGGTTGGTGAATCAGGCCACTCTCCCAGGCCGTCAAGAACGAATCCAAGGAGAGCCGGTATTCCTCAGCGGAAAGCTGCGGCTCTGAGAACAGTGCGCCTCGCGTGTGCTGCCAAGTGCAGCCTGAGGAAACACCCAAATTCGATACAAATAATTAGAACATGCACGGTGGCAACACGAACGCCAACCACTGGAAACTCGCACCGTTCTTCCGAGCGGTAGGAAGTAAAACTATTCTACGCGTACATCAAAGGCGCCGCAAGGTTACATGAGCTCCTTATGGTAGTCCGCACCGCGTGACTTCGGATGCATGAACTCGATTCCCAAGTTCAAAAGGACCGTCATGGCATGCGTGGGCACTGGTGATGTAGCCATCAAAATCTGGACAAGCGCCACCCCTCCAGGGCACGTGGATCCTGGACTCCCATGGAGACGAAGAAACACGTATTTACAATTATTGAAACAGATGGGCTGTCGTCCAAGGCAGTGATGCGGCCGCTCGGGTGGCACACCATATGAGGTGCTGCTTCACCAGATTGGAAGCTAGCACATGGCCAGCATGCGTTGACGGAGGAGCAGCTCTTCGTTGTGGCATTCCGCCGAAAGGCAAAAGGCTGCACACTGCGAGGTAACATGGGCGCGATTCATCACTAGGTCTACTAAGAGCTGAAATCAAATTGCTCCCTATTTGCTGGCAGCGGCGGCAAGGGCGTGTCATCAGGCGCTGGTGGACAAGCCGTACAGCTCGCTAGCCTCTGAGTCGCCGAGCTCCTTGAGCGCTCGCTCTTCGCTGTCCGACTCCAGTATGTCGTACTCCGACTCAAGCATGTCGACTCGCAGCGTGACCGGTGTGTCAGTCACCGCTGGGCCCCTCCCCGCGTCGGATACAGCCGTGAAGTAAGAGTGCCCCAAGGCATCTCTTGCACTGCAGCGTTGGCTCGGTTCGCGCTGCAGGAGGTCCCTGCACAGGCTCATGCCGTCGTCGGCCTGGCCCTGAGGCACAGCATCCAAGAACCTCGGGGGGGGTGCGCCCGCCCGGGTGGCCGCCATCGCCGCCCTCGAGGTGGACCTCTCTGGCACATAGGGCAGCTCTCCGAACAACATGAGGTACGCCATCACGCCGTAGGACCAGACGTCCGTGCCGATGCCGTGCCGCGCAGTCAGCATCTCGGGAGACATGAAAGGTGCGGTGCCGAACTCTCCCACCAGGGACTGGCCGGGAGACAGCAGGGCAGCCAAGCTGAAGTCGCACAGCTTCACCGTACTCCCATCAAGGCCGATCCGATAGCTGTCCGGCTTGACATCGCGGTGCACCACCGAGGCCCGGTGGCAGGCCTCCAGACCGAGGAGCATCTGGTGCAGGAGATGCGGGAGCCCAGACAGCAGGAGCTCCGGGTTGGAGTCGGCCTTCTCCGAGACCGTGCACCCGCACCTCTCCATGACCAGGAAGACGACGCGGCGGTCACAAAACACCCTGCGCAGCTCCGCAACGCTGGGGTGCCTGCCAACGGCGCGCCACGCCGCGGCCTCCTGCAAGGCAAGGCCTCGGTTTCCGCCCTGGCCTTCGCCCGAGTCGACGATCTTGACGGCGTCCATGCCCTGGGAGCTCCTTCTGCGCGCGGACATCACGATCCCGAACGATCCCTTGCCAAGCGTAGTGCCAAGCTCGTACTCCGAGGCGAACTGCTTCCTGGCGCTGACAGCAGGCTTGGCGGCAGCGCTCGGCGGCAGGCCTTCCGGGAGAGGAGCGATGCTCAGCAAGCACGGTGTGGCCGCTCGCGCATGCCTGGCCGCGCCCGTGAGAGGAACGACCCTCCTCTTGCCACGCCCCTGTCCCAGAGGTTTCGCCCGGCTGGCATCCGCGGCAACGGACTGTGCGCAACCCATCACGCCCAATCGCTGAACGCCCTGACGAGGCCTCTCGCTCAAAGCCAGGACGCGGCAAAATGTTCCTTCTGTGCTCAACGGGTGAACCAAAAAAATCGACTCAAAGCGGTGGGGGCCAAGGTGGCTACGGAACTCGTCTTCCGCTGCCCTGGCTGGGCCACCGTGAGCCGTCTTCGGGGCGTCTTGGGCCGCCTTGGCGGGAAGGGGGCACGCTGATCCCATGGCCGGCGGTCGCCTGGAGGGGCTGGACGGGGGGGGCGAGAGGCCCAAGAAGCCCCTCAGACGGCGCAAGAGCGCACAAGAGCGGTCCAAGGGCGCCCCAAGGGGGCTCCAAGAGGCGATCCCGACGGCTGTGGGGACGCGTGGGGACTCCTGAAGGTTCCTCCAGATTTTCGCAAGGCTTCTTGTGGGCGCCTTCAGATCCCGGAGGACTTCTTAAGTTTCTGGAAGAGTCCAAACGTTTCCTGAAGGATTCCTGAGGAGTCCTGCAGGATCCCTGAAAGATCAAAGACGATTCCTGAGAACTCGCTGCTACCCCTCCCCCGCCCACCCTCTGAATTGATATACGTTTCCCCTCCTAGACGCAATGACTTCAGCATGGAAAAGCGGGTCCTGAGTGCACCGGGATAGAAACCCCAAACAGAGTCACTGAGGACCCGGACCCACGTGAACGTCGTCGGCGTCGTCGGCGTCGTCGTCGTCGTCGTCGTCCCCCTTCAGGGTCGGCGGCACCGGCCGTACGGCATTCGCAATAATCGCTCCTAAACGCAGCGCCTTCAGCACGAAGCAAGTCGGTCCCGAGTGCACCAGGGTTCTGGACCCCAGTCGGGAGCGTCCAAGAGGGGGGCGTCCAAGAGGGGTGTGTGCAAATCATGGCCGGCGGCGTGTGCACGGCCCAGGGGGGGGGCAGGGAACGCATTGAAATAATAATAATAATAATCGTAATAATAATAATAATAATACTAATAGTAATAATAATAATACTAATAATACTATTAAGAATAATACTAATAAAAATAAGATTACAAATAATAATAACAATAATAACAATCATAATAATATTATGAATAATATTACTACTAATAATAATAAAAATGAATAATAATAATACTACTACTAAAAATAATAATAATAATAATAATAATAACAATAATATAATAAGAGGGGCCATGACATCTGGGGGGATATCATGACCCCCGCCATCATATCCCCCCCCTGTCCTCACCCCACTCTTGGCCGCTCCCGAGCACGGGGGTCCCAGCGATGCATCGGCGATGCACCAGCGATGCATCGTCGACGTGGGCGATGGATCGGCGACGTCGACATGAAGCAAATCGGGCTCCACATCGAGCCGCACCGTCGATGCGTCGGCGCTGCGGCGCGATCCTCCGACCCCATCTGCTCGGACCCCGTCTGGGAGGCCTAGTGACAAGTGGGTCCCGAGTGCACTGGGGTCCTGGACCCCAGGGCGCCCGCCCCAGGAGGAGGAGGAGGAGGAGGTGCTGAGGAGGAGGTGCTGAGGAGGAGGTGCTGAGGAGGAGGTGCTGAGGAGGAGGAGGAGGAGGAGGTGCTGAGGAGGAGGAGGAGGAGGAGGAGGAGGAGGAGGTGCTGACCCTGTTCCGCTTCCGCGGCCCGCCCCGCGGCCCGCACAGGGTGCTCAGGGGCCCGAGCACGGCGAGACGCCTCACGCACAGTGGGGCCCAGGGACACACAACCAAAGAGGCACACGAGCCCGGGATCCCCTCAGATTGTGCCCCGCCCGTTCTGGGCCTTCGTCTCCCCCCCCACTTCCCACAGCTCCCCCATACTTCCTGGGAGTCCACGATTGCTCCTGTCTCTGTGTCTTCCTCCTCCCCTCCTTGACCGTGCCCCGCAGGACACCGCTGCCCTCGCGGCGGTGGCTGCGGACTTCGCACACGGCACCGGGCCGCCACCCGGGCTCCTCTGGAACCGCCAGGGGCTCTTCGACGGTCGAGCCCTTGCTGGCGGACAGCGCCTCCTTCGGCTCCTCCCTGTCCTTGTCCTTGCCCTTGCTCCTCGACCGATCCTTCGCCTCGGCCTTGCCCTTCGCCTTCGACCCAGCCTGGCAGGCCAAGAGAGAGAGAGAGAGCGGACAGCATGCCGACGGGCGTTGCCATGGATGAGCGATGTGCAAGCGCGGCGCCCATGCAGAGGGCCCTCCACCGGTGCAAGACAGCAGCGTCTGAGCGAAGGCGATTTGATAACTACGAAGGCGAGGCAACGGGACCTGACGCTGCACATCACACACACACAACATGTCAAGGGGACCCGAGACAAATCTACAATCGAGGCCTGTTGGGCTCAAATCGAGCTAGCGTCACCTCTCTCTCCCTCTCGCTCTCTCTCTCTCTCTCTCTCGTTCTCTCTCTCTCTCTCTCTCTCTCTCTTCCTGGCATTGCCTCTCTTTGCCCTGCGCTCTCTCTCTCTCTCTCTGTGTGTACCGCTCGCGCGAAAGCGGAGACCTGCCTGCAGTCCCCGTGCTGCTGCAGGGAGCGCCGAATGGGGGAGCGGAGCAGCGTCTCTAAGGGGGGGGAGCGGCGAGCCTCGGCCACGCAGAGGCCCCCCCCCCCGACCCTCGCTCCGAGGCACGGGCCGCAGACCGGGGCCCCTCCCGAACCTTGAGGCACGGGACCGACCGTGCCGTCATTCCTGCAGTCCTACCACGAGGTGTCCTTAGAACCCGCACATGTTCGAAGGACAAGAAGCACAGTGCTCTAAGAGCAGAAGCCCGATTTGCGAAAACAAGACGGTCCCCTCCAGAGAGATTCCAAGAACACCTCGTGGGAACCACAGAAAAAAGGTTCGCAGAGCATGGTTTTGGTAGGCCTACAGGCACGCCAGGACGCTTCGCCACTGCTTGCGAACCCACAGCGGACCTGCAGTGGCTGCCACGTCAGGGCCCTGCAGGCGGGAGACCGTGGGCGAGGCCCCGCGCCGGCGGCGAGCGAGAGGGCGGGGAGGCGAGAGGGCGAAGGCCTCCTCGGAGGGCGGCTTGGCTTCTCGGGAGCCCCCCGGCCGCCCGACTCCCGAGGAGCTCCGCGCGTCTTCGGGGAAGGCCGAGGAGGCTTCCCAGAAGGCCGGGGGGCGTCCGAGCCTTCTGAGAAGGCCTCCTCCTCCTCCTCCTCCTCCTCCTCCTCCTCCTCCTCCGCATCCTCCGCCTCCTCCTCCTCCTCCGCCTCCTCCTCCGCCTCCGCTTCCTCCTCCTCCTCCTCCTCCTCCTCCTCCTCCCCAGGTTCGCCGCCGACCATGGGCAGGCATCGCCCGACCTGCCTGCCCCAGGCAAGGGCCTGCCTGCCCCAGACAGAGCCGCCGAAGCACATCGCCGATGCGTCGGAGCTGCACGCCGGCGACATGGGCGATGCACGGGCGAAGTCGGCATGGAGCAGAACGGGCTCCACACGAGCAAGAATCAACAACGGGCTTTACGCGAGATGGCACGGCGACCTTACGCCGCAGCTGATGTGGGCCGCCAGCGCGGCACGCTACATTGGAGACGAGAGCGCGCACGCGCGACCTCACGCGGGCAGCTTACGCGCCAACGTCGGCGAAGACGACCCTGTTTTTTGCGTCGCTCACATCGAGCCGCAGCGTCGATGCGTCGGCGATGCGGAGCGATCCTCCGACACCGCCTGGGAGGCGGCCTGCGGGACGCTGGCCGGACACGCTCGTCGCCAGCAGCAGCAGCAGAAGCAGCAGCAGGCCGGCTCGTTCCCCACCGTCCAGCCTAACACGGCGATGACTTCCCTGAGGAGGCATTCTCAAAATTGAACCCGGCGCGACCCCAAATGGGGTGCCCAGACATATACACCACCACCGCCTCCCTCACCCCCTCCCTCCCAGGAAAGAGGAGAGGAAGAGGAGGGTAGAGCAGGGAGGAGGAATCAAAGTGGTGGTGGTGTATGTTCTTGGGGCCCCCACCAATCAAGGGCAAACTCCCCACACAAGTAAGCAAGGAAGGCATTGCATGGCATTTATTTAACCGGCAGCTCCGAGCACCCCCTGGGAACGCAAGGCAACAGGGCACCGGAACAACTCGAGCAACCAGGCAGACCTCGAGCACACCTGGGGAAAGCCGGGTCACCGTGCACCGACCAGCTTTTTCAACAAACAAGCACGATCCCCTCAGGCAAGCCTGGTCGGGGGAAAAACTCACACGGCCCAAACCTTCAGTCCAAGTCTGAGGCCGCAATGAACCTCCCTCCCATCTTCCTCCTCCTCTTGCTCCTCCATCACTCGCTTCCCCGCCCCCTCCCCTCCATACCATGAGAGAAATAGGTTGAGGGAAACGAGTCTTGGATCCAGGGGCGTTCCCCAAAGATCAACTTTTCAGCCTGAATAGAACATTGGGGCTCGGGGGAACACTGGGATCCCGAAAACGGAAAAAACTTCCAGTACATGTTTCCCTCAGGTTCTTTACTTCACTTCATGGCGATCCACTCGCCTCTAACGTCTAAGGGGGGGATCAGCATGGTGACCCCACTCCCCGACTGTGTGGGAGATTCGACTGCACACGACTTGTTGGGTCAAACTGCGGATAGACCATAGGGGGTGGGGGGCGCTTATCCTTGACAGGAATGCGCCCGAACGGCCCCCCAGGGGCGTATCCCCGAGTTCCCCTTCGCTTTTCGCGAGGCGGGAATTTACCCATATCCACCGCCTGGGAACCGACGTCCTGGTGCCCCAGCGGGCGGTGGATATGGGTATATTTCGGCCCCCGGGGGTCCGAATATGTCCATATCCACAGCCTGCCGAGGTTCCGAACACTGACCCTCCAGGCGGTGGTCATGTACAAATTCCCGCCTCGGACTTCTGAAAGGCCATTGGATTGGACGGGGAACTCGGGAATTTGGGGCGAGCGAATCGCCTGCGACCGTCCCCTCCACCACCCAGTTGATGCCAAGGCGCGTCACCGCTGAGGCGTTCACCACCGCAATGGGGACCACTCCTGACTTACTAGTCCCAAGCCCGGCCGATTTGGGACCAATCCCGGCTGAATCGTCACCAAATCCCGGCTGAGAATCCTCCTGAATATTTCTTCTTAAGAAGTATCCGTAAGACTTCTTAAGAAATGCTCGGAACAGGTCTCAAATAGTACTTGTTAAGATGTTATCTGGACATTACTTCACAGGTACTTCTTAAGAAGGTGCCAATGAGATTGTCTGGCTGCACTTCTGAAGAAGCGCTCTTAACACCTCTTGTATAGTGTTTCGTAAGAAGTGCTCTTAAGACTTAAGACTTCGTGAACATAATGTATTAAAAGATATTCGTAAGACTTCTAGGAGGCCTCTTGGGAGGCTTCCTTCGGGTTCCTTTTCACATCCCCTACGCTTCCATGAAGAATCGTATACGATTCACCCAGCGAATCACATAAGACTCGTAGACGAATCACATTTGAACCGTATGCGGTTCACATAGAAGCCGGCTACGATTCGCATGGGAAAGGTGTGCGGCTCACATAGGAGTCGCATACGATTCAAATAGCAATCTCTTACGAATCACGTAGGAATCGTATACGACCCACATACGAACCGCACACGCGCCACATAGACATCATATACGATGTCCGCAATACTCATATGCGCTTCACACAGGAACTGCATACGATACTGGTAAAATCTGTATACGACCCACATGGATGTACACGATTCACACTGGAACCGCATACGGTTCACATAAGAGCCGTTGAATCTTCACATAGCATTCGTGTAGGATCCCATCGGGGTCCTCGACGTTTCCCACTGGAACCGTGCACGATTCACACACGGATGGTTATACGATTTACCTCAGATTCGTCAACAATCCACATCTGAATCGGATACGGCTCACATTCCACATCTCAATCGGATACGGCTCACGTAGGGATCTCATGAGATCCACAAAGAAATCGTAGAACCAACACATACGAAGCAAAGGCAGCTCACATAGGAAACGTATACGATTCATACTGCATTCGTGCACGATGCACGTAGACACCGTATACGATTCACGTAGGAACGCTTGACGATTCGCACAGGAATCATATGATAATCACGTAGGCACCCAATACGATTCACATAGGGGTCGTCTCCGGTTCGAACTGGAACCGCATACGACCCACATAGGAACCGTACACGCTGCACATCGGATTCGAGTAAGACTCACATAGGAATCGCAGGCGAATCTCACAAGATCTGTGAACGTTTTGCATGGGATTCGAAAACGAAACACACAAGAACCATAAGGATACACATAGTAACCGTAAACGAGTCACACAAGCATCATCTACAATTCACAGAGGAGACGTAGCCATTGGAATCGTAAACGATCCACACACACACACGAACCACGTGAAATTTACATGTGGGTCGTATACGCTGGAATCGCTCACAACACACATCGGCACCGCGTACGATTCATATAGAAGTCATGTACGAATCACGTAGGCTTCATCAGGAATCGCATAACACAGGGACCATTCCCGGCGATGGAGAATCGAACGTGCGCGTAGGTGTCCTTCTGAATACTCATGTAGTTCAGAATTGTCTGAAATACAGAATTGCTATATATTTGTTTTACGAGCAGCAAGCATTGGCCACAGTCTAAACCAAACGCAGCCTGGATTGTCCCCAAGCGGCCGGGATTGGTACCAGTGGTCCCTCTACAGGGTCCAAGACACGGACCCCCTTGGACCCCCACCCCAACTCAGAGACGCCCAGAGCATCCCAAACCTCCTCGATCCTCGACCCTCCCTCCTCCTCGACCCACGACTACGAAGGGAGGCAAGCTGATCCCCCCCTTTGGTGGGCACCTCCCTTGGCGCTGGGCTCCGCCACCTCGGCCCTCCCCCCGCAGCAGGCTGCAGCAAGGAGGAGGCTCGCGGCCTGCACGGGCTCTGGCGGATCCGTGACCTGCGCGCTCCGGCCCCCTCCCCATTCGCAGCAGCAGGGGCCACCGTGGAGGGGGCCAGCACACGAGGAGTTAGGTTGGGCGTGTCCCCCTACAGGCGGATTTAGGGCGAAAACTAAAGAACAGTTAAACATACCCCAAACGTGCTCCGCCATTCGCCAAACATTGCCCCCTGACAATTTTGTGACTATTTTGGACAATTCCTCCTGTAGAGGAACAGGCCCGACTGTAAGGAAGAGGCAGAGAGAGGGTTTGGGCGGGCGTAGGACGAGAGCGGCGAGAACGAGGACGCCCAGAGGCGGCAGGGGTCCTGCGGCAGGAGGGGCAGGAGGGAGAGAAGGCGGCGGGACTTCTCGGAGCCCCTGTGGCCTTCTGAGAACTGTTCTGTGCCATCGGGGGAGGCTTATAGGAAACTTCTCAGGAGGCCGGGGCACTTCCGAGCCTTCTGAGAAGGCCCGCCCCTCCTGATTCCCCCCCCGCTCGCCGCCGACCTTGACCCTCGCGCCAGCTGCAAGACGTGTGAAATACATCACCGTGGCGAGACTTTCTTTCAATCTGCCTTCGCCGTTAGCGCAGCAGGGCGCAGCGTTCGGAGGGAGCAAACATGCTCGAACGACTCCGCGCGCGGGCGCATCCCGCTCGATGCATTATCGGATCTTGCGCGGAGCAGTTTCCGATCTGGTTTGGGGCCACAGAATTATAAGCATGAGACGGATCGGAAACTACTCCGCCGAAGGAAGCCAGCATCACGTGATGTCAGGAAATCTTAGGAGGGATGAGACACCTCTCCGCCGTCGCAAACGGAGGGCACCTTTCTGTCGGGGCTGTGCATGGAACCACCTGCACCGCCCGCGCCACCCCTGTCGGCGGCGCCACTGTGAACGCGCGTGGCATGCTCTTCCCTCATCTGCCTCGGTCCGGCGGGCCTGGCCCGGATCTCCTCGGGGGAGCCTCAGGAGGCCTCCACAGAGTGCCCCTGGAGGCGTCCGGCGGAGGCCGCCAGAGGCCCGCGGGGCGCCAGAAACGTCCAGCGACGACCTCGGCCCACCACCCCCACCGCCGAGCCGAGCGAGCCTCTGGAGGGACGCGCGGGCAGAGCAGCGTGCGACTGGCCGCTGCTCGTGCACGTGCAGAGAACACGCTGCGCAGAGTGGTGGCGCTGCAGCGTGGCCTCGGGCCCTCGGTGCGAACATCGCCCCCCTCCCCCCCCCCCCCCCTTTACGGGAAAAAAGGGCTGTTCTGCGCTCCGCCCGCCTCCCCATGCGATCCGCATGCCTTCCTGCCCTGCCACTCAGGAGGGAGGAGGGAGAAGGGAGGAGGGAGAAGGGAGGAGGGGGAGGGGGAGGAGGAGGAGGAGGAGGAGGAGGAGGCGGAGGAGGAGGAGGAGGAAGAGGAGGAGGAGGAGGAGGAGGAGGAGGAGGCTGAGGAGGAGGAGCAGGAGGAGGCTGAGGAGGAGGAGCAGGAGGAGGAGGCTGAGGAGGGAGGAGGGAGAAGGGAGGAGGGAGAAGGGAGGAGGGGAGGGGGAGGAGGAGGAGGAGGAGGGGGAGGAGGAGGCGGAGGAAGAGGAGGAGGCGGAAGAGGAGAAGGAGGAGGATGAGGAGGAGGAGAAGGAGCAGGAGGCGGAGGCGGAGGAGGAGGAGGAGGAGGAGGAGGCGGAGGAGGGCCGCTGCCACCTGGACCTCGTCGCAGACGAGCTGCCACATGGTGGGCAGCGCGCTGGCGTTCTTGAGGCGCACGCGCCGCTCCTCTCGCGGCGGCGTTGGGGCCCCCCCGGAAGTGGACCTGGCCAGGATCCAAGGAGAAAAAAACGTACATCCCTCCCTAGCGCGCGGAGCGCGTCATCGTCGTCGTCGTCGTCGTCGTCGTCGTCGTCGTCGTCGTCGTCGTCGTCGTCGGGGCGGCGCCCCAGGCGCCGCAGGGGAGGGGGCCAGCGCCAATTCAAGAGATCCGAGGGGAGCTCCGCCAGTTTACGATCATGCCTTTCTTGTCTTCCTCTATAATGTGGCCCCAGCTTTGCCAGGCAGGCCCAGATGGCCTCCAGAGCACCCCTCACAAGCTCCAGAGGGCTCCAGGGATTCCAGCATGGCGCGTTCAGTTTGGGCATCGTGGGCCAGCAGCAACGGCATACAACCACCTGCAAGGTAGCTACTTGCAGACAGAACTGGTCCCCTCGTGAGAGGGAAATGACCTCTCTCGTCTCTGTCGGTTTGTGAGGAGCCGCCTTGCGGATAGTGGCAGGCGATCGCCCAGAAAGAAAACTTGGAGCGCACGTGCCGAACAGTTCCGGACTCGCTGCGCAGCTGGCTCCGAAGCACTGCCGCTGCGAGTACGCCTGCATGCCGTGCCTGTGTGCAACTCCATTACTTGCGTGCGTGTGCGATGATAAGGGTGCTACCTGGCATGCGATGGCAAAACTTGTGCACATGCAGGCACGACGGAATTCTTCTCGTAAGTATGGACGGCCTCAATCTCAACCACCTCAACGTGTCTTGCCAACCCTGGTGATCCTCCTCCCTTCGCCTCCTTCTATCAACAATGAGCCTCATCTTCCTCCACATCCACTTCCTGCGTCTAATCCAACTCGCCATCGTCGTCGACTGAACCGAGCCCCTGGTGAAACGACGTTGAGCTCATGCGTAAGTCGCGCGGGGTCGACCCAGCGATAGAAGGGCTGCCAGAAATTCGGGGGTCGTCTTTTGCGCAGTCGCGCGTCGTCTCCTCCTCGAGAGCACCACCGAAGTCCGCTGTGCAGCTCGTTGAACGCAATCGCGATGCGAGCCTCGAGAATCGGCGACACGGGATCTTCAAAACCTCCACGGGCCCGCGGGCGAACTGCCCCTGACCCAGACCTCGGGAAGGGGGCCGGGCGGCGCGGTGGTCACCTTGGCGCCCCCAGGCGGGGAGGGTAACGGAAGGCCAAGGGGAGGGAGAGAGGCGCGAGACGCGCACGGGCCGCGACGGCAGCCGCAACCCAACGCTCATCATCGTGCGCGCGAAGAAGCGAACTTGCACTGTATCAGTCGACGCCCGCGTCCAGCAGCGCACCGGGTCAAAGCCTACCGGCTGTTGTGCTGCAAGTGGCGCCGTTGCCCTGCTGGGTGGGCCGTGCCCCCCACCCCGCTTCCTCGGCACGCCAGTTGACCAACAGGCGCTCCAGGTCCACCTCCTGAGAGAGCCGGGGGGCGCCCGCAGCGGCAAGCAGACAGACGCGAGGAGGGAGAGAGGAGATGGGTGCAGTATTGTGGATGCCATGACAATGGACACCCTAACAGTCCTATCCTTGAACTAAACAATTCAACATGTGTTCAAAATGTGTAACACATGCTCTAGTAGTGTTTCAACCATGTGTTACACGCTCTAGACATCTGGAAATTATTTGGCAGCGTGCTTCCTCTCCAGTCATCGTCCTCCACAAGTGCAGTAGGAAACAGCTCCTGGGAGGTCTTCCAAACAACGACGAAAGGCCGTCAAGACCGATCGGGGCCATCGAGCCGCATGCGCCTGGACAGAGCCCGAGATCGGGCCGGATGGGGCCGCGGGACCCAAGATTCAGCCAGGATGGTGCCTGCGGTCAACACGGGATCAGGCGGGATGAGGCCGGATTGGGCTGATTTTATCAACCACCGATCCACCAGCGCCGACGCTGCATCTCAAACCTCCCAGGAGTTGCGTATAAAGCGCGCTGCAATCTAGCGAGCAAGAGCATGGTGGGAGGGGAGAGAACACGGAAGAAGAGGAGCCGCGCACGAGAGGAAGACAGGAGAGTGGTCCAGAGAGAGAGAGAGGGCGGTGGGAGGCCGAGCGAGAACACGCCGGAGCCATGCTGGAACGCACAGAAGATCGCGGGAAGAGACATCCTGAGAATGCAGGCAGAGGGGGAGATGAGAGGCACGGAGCAGGGCTGACAAGGAGAACAGGGCGGTGCAAGTGGGGGAGCGACCAGCTGCCGGACCTCTCTCAGGGTGCGCTCTGGTCTCTCATCGGAACTTCGAGGAGAATCCAGCCGTGGCGACGAGGGAAGGGAAGGCATCGGCATCTGCCCCTCCCCCCTGAGAGAGAGGAGGCGCGCGAGAGGGCGAGAGGAGAGAGGAGACGGGGCAGCGGAAAGAGGAGAGAGGAGCAGAGGAGGGGCGAGAGGACCAGGGGGGGCGCAGAGGAGCGGCGAGAGGGCCAGGGAAGGCCATCGGACGTACCCCGCGCTGCGCGGAGGAGGCCCACGTCTGCCCCATCCGCCCCGCTCGGCCCCTGCCTGAAGTCCGCGCGTCGTAGGAAGAGTCACGACGGGAGGTCTTCGACGGCGTTCGGCTCCGCGCACGAGTCGGAGGGAGGAGAAGCGACACCAACACCACCAGGGGGCCCACCTCCAGCGAGGAGGTCCGCGATGCCTCCCCGAGCTGGAGGCCAGGGTTGTCTCGAGCGAGGGGGGGGGGGACCACATCACCAGGGAGAACCCCCTTGCCTCCTCGCATCTCCGCGCCCTGGTGGTGTTGGTGTCCCCTTTCCTTGTTCCTAACGAGGGGGTGGATGGGGGAAGGCTTCTCAGAGAAGGAAGCCGCTTCTCAGAAGGCGCTGGCCTGGCATCTACAGATCAGGCCCGCGCCTTCTAAGAAGAAGCAGGGCTGCTTCCAAGAAGCCCTCACCCCTCCCGCCATTCCCCTCTGCTCGTGGCCGATACCAAGCAACTCAGGATGGAGGACCAGTCCTGGGCGAGGGCTCCAGACCTTCGGGGAGCCATGCTGTGAGAAAGCCACGGAAGCAGATGACCAGGCTGGACACCGACCACAGCAGAGCAGCTCGGGGCCGACTTCAAGGGACCTGCCCGTCTGGCGGCTCTCCCTCTGCCCTGGATGGGCCTGGCACCTGTTCGTGTTTGTTGCCAACACTCGAGCGCGAGCGCTGAAACACACGGCTTCCCAAAACGAGGCAGATGGCTTCTCTCGGCCAGACAGCCCGCTGGGTGATGCGAAACCAAAGCTGCCACTATCCAAAGAGGCACTGCAGCTGCACCCGAACGCACACAACTGTTCGAACTTTGC